CAAGCACTGCTGTGTGAGACTGCAGCTCTGTGAAACAGGCTGGGCATCATGTTAGCCTTGAGAGAGGTGTTCTGTTAACACCTCTGAAAAGAGGGAGAGCAGAACAGAGCCATAAGAGCAGTTCTTTAGGTAAGTATTTGCAGAGACACAAAACCCCTCTCCAGTGGCTCCTGCTGGGTTGCCAACACACGTCTGCACAGCAAACACTGCAGAGGGGCAGCGGTGCTGGGCTGGGGGCAGGCAGAGGTGCTGCTTTCCAGAGGGAGGAGGGCAGGTGGGATGGCCAGGGAGGAGGGGGATCCCCATCCCTGTGGGGCTGGATGGGCTGGGGAGGCCAGACTGTAACCTGTGGTGGCCCACACAGCAGGGTGGGATGGGTTCTCACACACAGACTCACACACACATGTATGTGTGACTGAAATGTTGTTGCCACTGGCTGTTTTTCAGTTCACAGCACTGTGAGAGCAGAAGCCATTTTGCAGAGCACATGCCTGATCTTAAAAAGTGATTGCTGCTGAAATTTGGTGATGAGGAAGTAGGTTCCAGGGTCTCTGGATCACTACATTTCTCTGTGTATTCAAATGTATATGCTGTTAGAATGGATTTAAATTCCAATTTTTGTTTCTCTGATTGATTTACAGAACCAAAGGACCATGAAAACATGAGCAGAGCAATCCTGAGGCTGATGTGCAAAGGTCTGGGCCTCCCTGCAGCCTCCCATGCCCTTTCCAACTACAAAGCTGCAGGGGCTGATGAAATGTCCCAGGGAGTTTGTCACTGGGCACGTCCCCCCAGGCTGGCCCTGAGCTCCCTTCAGAGGCACCCTGGGGCTGGCATCAGCTCAGCTCCCCACTGCTGCTGCCCAGGGAAATTCCTGGAGAAACTGGATAGGTGCAAGGGCAGGGTGGCCCAGCGTGGTGCTGTGTGTGCACATGTGCATCCATATATGTGTGTGTGCCTGTGTGTGCAACCCTGCCAGCTCAGCTGGCATTTCAGACTCCGAGAGGACGGGGTAGGGAAAACTGTAGCACACGAGGAGCCTTTTAAGGAGAAGGATTTGGGCTCAGCTGATGGTTTAGCTTTGCAGCAGGTCTGAGATACCACAGAGCCACATTTCTCCAGTTACTTTTTCGCCCAGCTCAGCAAGTTGAAGTTATAAACTCTCTATTCCTTCTCTTTCTCTCAGCACTGCTGGGGAGTGGAGGGACAGCACAGCAAGGACCTGGCAGCCCAACCTGCCCTCCTGCAGGCCCTGCAGTGCTGCCTGGAGCACCAGTGGTGGCCAGCAGCTGCCTGGGCACCTGCCAGCCTAAGGAGTTGTCCCTGCCCGCAAGCTCAGGTGAGGGATGCTCTGAGTGAAGTGATGCACCATCCCCTCCCTGCAGTGCCTCTCCCGAGGTTGCTAAACAAAGTACAGGGTAGCTTTGCTCCAAAAATCTTTTCCCCATCAGGCATGTGCTGCCCAGGAGGGTAGTGAGCTCAGGGTGACCTGCTGTGCTGGACTGGCAGTGATTTGGGTGAGTCCATTTTGGGGCACTCCAGGCACAAGCCCAGTGTATCCCTCCCTCTCTCTCCTAAGGTGTGCTGCTCCACAGGCTAAGAGTAGAGGAAGAACCAAAGCAGCATAGCTTTAGCACTCACCAGAGCTGAGTGGATATAGTGAGCAGCTGCCTATATAGAAATATAAATTAAGTCACTTTTTCACAGTCATTTCTCTCTTGGAATGGGAAGAAGTACTGGAATAATCCTTAGTCTCTCAGGTCTTGTTCAGTGTCTATCCAACCCCCACCCTGGCCCCTGCCCTTTCCAGGGGTTATAGTGATGTTTTGCTGTTGTTTGGGTAGGGTGAGGGGGATGCCCTGTGCTGTAGCTGCCCATCTACGTGGTGGTGGTGATGCACACTCACCATGTTCCTGTCCTGGCTTCACCTGTGGCACCCCAGGACTGTGGGAGAAAGGGCAGTGTGCTTCTTTGTGCCTGAGATCATTTGCTATGGATGGCAGGACAATGAGTAATCGAGGCTTTGGCTCTGACAGCCCATGCCCCTTGTCCTGCCAGCCACAAGCAAGAGAGACCCACACTGACTTGGCCCCTGGCCCAATGCAAAATTGCTTTCAAGGCACTGGCTGCCCTTGTGGGTACAAATTTATGATGGAAAAAGCCCCAAAACCCCACAATGCTAAGACATGATGGAAAACTAGAAAAAAAATGGCAGCAATCTCTGGAGCTGTTACCACCTTTGTGTGCACAGCCTGTTGTTATCCCTGTGCCTGAAGCCACCTGATGCTGTGGCTTTCCACAGAACTTCAGCTTCAATCTGCACAAGGAGCCAGGGGCTGGTGCTCTCCTCAGTGGGGCTGAGCCCATCCCAGCCCTATACAGTCTGTGCCATGGTATTACCTGTCACCCTGTTCTTTTGAGAGTTTTAAAGTTCTTCGAAAAGTTCCTATGCCTTCTGATATTCAGATATTTCAACTGAGTTTTCTCACGTGTGTTCATGTAAATAATGATTGTTTTGCATTCATCGTTGTGGGTGGAAAGAACTGATGGACTGTTGGTTTGACCAGTGTGGTTGGAGAGGTGGCAGTTTCACCCTCCAATCCACTGTCACTTTTACTATTGTATATATACTAGAGTCAGAAAAAAAAGCTGGATTTTTTGGCTTTTTTTCCTTTCCTTTTACATCTAGCCTGCTTCTGTGAGTTATTTAGTTATTCTGTGGCTGGCAAAGCTTGGCCTTCAACTGTGGCACTCTTCTTCCCATCAGGGCATCATTTTGCCTCCCTGCTTTGGCCGGTGGGCTTGGCTGGCGGCACACCAGGCTGCCCCATCTCCACCAACCAGGCACCGCCCAATCTCACCCTCCAGCCAGCACCTTACAACCACACGCCCACGAGACCGTCCTCACACCCCCAAACCCCACGGGCCTTGCTCTGCCCCGTGCTCTGCCCGTGCTGGAGCCCCGGGACACAGACCTGGACCAGGTCGGGCGTGAGGCGCTTGGCCCGCAGCCACTTCTGGAAGCGCTGGGTGCGGCGCAGGGCGCGCTCCAGGCTGCAGCTCTTGCTCTTGAGCAGGGAGGTGCAGATGCGCTTGTCCGCCCGGTCGTGCTGGTACTTGGAGGTCAGCCGGGTGATGTCCACCAGCCGCCAGCTCTTGGCATCGTCCGTGTAGTTGCCCGAGTAGCTGAGCAGGGAGCTGGGGGGCAGCTTTAAATGAGAAGAAAGCCAGGTGTCAAACCTGCCAAACCAAAACGAGAGCCCCACGGAGAGCGGGTTAAAAGCCACACGGACACAGCGCCCGCCCCGCTGAGCTTCTCCAGGCCGGCCCCTGGGGCTCCCTGCCATCGCCTGGCAAAGGCTGAGACACCCTGGCTGGGTGGCCCCAGGGTGAGCAGCCTGAAACCATCAGCTAAAGAAATGTGTTTTGGTAAAAAAGTCCTTCTTTGCTTCCCACTAGTACCATCCCTTGTCATGAATGCTGCCATGGAGCGAAGGG